TTAAGTCCTTAAACATCTTCTTTCTAATTTTGGTAATTCTAATTCTAACTTTGCAGTGCAACACTTCTCTTCCGGTGGGAGTAGGATGTACTTCATCAGAACCTGGATTTAAGTTATCCTATTCTTTTAACTAAGGGCAAAGGGCAATAGTGTATCCCAGTGGGGAAGAACACTGGCAGAAGGGCAGAGTGGTTCAGACTAACGTGCTCGTGGAGTGTGTGTGACATCCCTGAGGAGGAGCTGGGTGAAAGGAACGTAGCACGTCCATCAGGGACGTAAGCAGGATTTCCCTGAAGGTACAAACACAGGTCTGTAGCCAGCAAGCACTTTTTAGCTGCCTAACTCTGGGCAAGTTACGGAAACTTGGCCTCAGTTTTTTTCATTTGTAAGATAAGGATAATGATGGTGTCTCTCTCATATAGTTGTGGTGAGTATCACATGAGTTAACACACATAAAATGTTTAGAGCACAGCCAGGCGCATAATAAGCCCTAACTGAATGTTTGTTTTTATTGTAAATGGTATGAACAAATACGAGTGATAAGGGTTCAAATGAATCAGCCCTGTTGAAAAGTCGGGCTTACACAGCTGAGGGTGATTACTCCAAGCTAGGTTCTCTCCCTGAGTTCTAAGCACTTCCTCTTCTGCAGACATGAGGTCTGACTCTGGGATGTTCCCTCATTCTCTCCTGTGTTCTTAAAAATAAATTAGAAACAACCTAAGTGTCCACTGATGGATGAATGGATAAAGAGGTGGTATATATTTATAATGGAGCATTATTCAGACATAAAGGGGAATGAAATTTTGCCATTTGCAACAATGCAGCTGGATCATAAGGACATTATCCTGAGTGAAATAAGTCAGAAAAAGATAAATGCCATATGCTCTCACTTATATGTGGAATCTAAACAACAATAACAAGAAAAAAAAACAAAGAAAAAATGAGCACAGGTTTAGAGAGAAGAGATTGGTAGTTGCCTGGGGCAGGGGGCAGAGGGTGGGAGGTGTGCAAAGCGAGTGGAGAGAATCAAAAGGTATAAATTTCTCGGTATAAAATGAGTAAGTCATTGGGATGTAATGCACAGCATGGGGACTATAGTTAATAATACTGTATTGCATGTTTGAAAGCAGCCAGGAGATCAGATCTTGAAAGTTATCATCAAAAGATAATAACTATGTATGGTGACAGATGTTCACTGGGCTTATTGTGGTGACTGTTCTGCAATATATACAAATATTGAACCACTATTTTGTACACCTGAAAGTAATATAATGTTATGTCAATTATACCTCAATAAATATATATGTGCTCTCTCTATATAATGGCATAACTGTTAGCAATGCAAGGATCCAAAGGGTAGCAGAATCTGCAACCCAAAATACACTTCTTAGTTTAGCAATTATTTTGGGCTAAAGGCAATTGAGAAGAAAACAATAACAAGAACATTCTCTGACTTCCCCCTATTTAGCTAAACGCAGGACATAAATTCGTGAACGTGTTCCCCTCCTCCCTCTCCTCCAGGAATGACAAAAGTTACCCTTGGCAGCCCAGAGAAGGGAACAAAGTAATCTACATAATAAAATTTACTAACTGGCCCTTATCTTCCATTAGCTCCCCTACATATTTGCCTTCCCACAATGTGATGCCTTAGAAATCCAAAGTCCTTTTCCTTTGTCTTGCCACTCCTCTAAACATTTATTGCTCTTTCCGTTAAGATGCTATAAGAGGGGAGGAGGGTAGAGTGTGGGCTTAGCATGCACAAGGTCCTGGGTTCAATACCCTGTACCTCCATTAAAGAAAAATTTAAGAAAAATAAAGAGGTGCTATGAGAGCTCAAGTTCCAACTATATCTTTGAGTTACTTTTCGCTGAATACTACCCTGTATGTGCTCGACACATGTGTTAATATACTTCCATGAGTTTTTCACTTGCTATCTTTCCACTGTCAGTCTAATTTACAATGAACCTAAGATGAATAAAGGGAAAAGGAATTTTTTTTCCTCCCCTACAGCTCTAAGGAAAAACGATAAATTTATGTCCCCAGTCTAGAGGAGCATGCCACACTCAGAGTGGGAAGTAGAACTTGATTGAAAATTTAAACAGAAAGAGATGCTTCAAGGCAGTGCCAGACCAGGAAGTTGGGCAGGACGCTGGCTTTGGCTCTATTCTTACTTAGTGGTTCATGTTCTTCATACCTGGGAAATGCCAGCGACTGATACAGGACAAATGAGAGACTGGTACGTGACAGATGAGTAGGTTATGTTTACATATTTGAGACAATACGCCAGAGCTTCTTAACCTCTTTAAAATTATAGATAGGAGAGTCTCACAGAGGGTCCCACCGCAGACCGTCTGCATCAGAATATCAGAGGGTGGGACTAAGCTTTTTTTTCCGATCCATTCACATGTAACTCCCAAATGCAACTTAAGCTTTCTTCCAATCTAAAAGGACCCATCTGGGGGGTCGGGCATAGCTCAAGTGGTAGAGTGTGTGCCTAGTATGTATGAAGCCCTGGGTTCAATCCCCAGTACCTTCATTAAAGAAGTAATTAAATAGATAAACTTAATTACCTCCACCTCTCACCAAAAAAAGAAAGGAAAAAAGCAAAACAAAACTAAAAGAGCCCATCTCTCTTCAGCATTTTTTCATCCATTGCTGAAGTCACATTGTCCTAATCCTGGCCATTTATTAGCACAGCGTTAGTCCAGGTATCGAGAAGTTGATACATGGGGATACTGAGGATCTTTAAAACCTCTGGCAGCATCCAGAGTGTAGCTCTAGCATCCACTGCCCTGGGACACCATCAAATCCATCAGCTGAAAATGAGAGGTGTCTAAACCCAGCAACCAAACCAGAACATCTGTGCCGCAGAGCTCACCACTCACACCTGGCAAGCAGAGCTCCTGGTTTCAGGGTGACTGGAGAGTAACGAGACAGCATCATAAACACACCCAGACTCTTCCATCCCCAAAACAGCATCTTCACCGCAGTTTTCACTCTGGGAGATCAAAGCCTCATGTCTCGCACAAACCTGCCTAGTCAAACTAGGTTTTACGTATGCTCAGTGGTGGCTACTTTTACCTAAGAAAAAAGGAAGTTGATATCAAGAGAGATTTCTGCAAACTGAGAAATTATTTCCCATGCAGGTGGACAATCATCTTTTTTCTGGAGGTGACTAAGACTTTCGAGGTGTTTACTGCTGATGAAAGCGTGAAGTGGACAAGTGAGCAGAGTCAAGTGAAAGGGCCTAGAGTCTTCCTCCACTTGGGATACTGAGTTGCCTGGCAACAATCATAGACTGTCTTTGATTCAGTATGAATTATATCCTTTGAATGATTACCTCTGCGTTTCTAGGTAAGTGAGGGTTTTCTAAGGGTACGTGTATACGTGTGTGTTTGTGTTTGTTTTTAAATATCATAGCAAATCCCACATTGCTTTGTCTTCCATATATCTGAAAAGTGAAACAGTCATCCCACTTCTGGGGATATTCTCGTTGATATATTGTAATTATTGACTGGCTTATTGAATTGTAATTCAACACGGCTTACCTTGCCTTAATTCAACTACTTGCCAAATCAACACCCCAACAACAAACAATTATACTGTTCATGCAGAGACTATTTGAAGTAATTATTCCCAGGGCCTAGACGACAGTCTGGCTTCTCACAGCATGGTCCTAGACAGATGGCTTCTCCAGGAGCTGATATGCATAATCTTAGACCCCGCCCAGATTACAGAATAATAAACTGCATTTGAACAAGATCTTTGGGTGGTGATCTGTATGCACATTAAAATTTGAAAAGCACTAGCCTGGAGAAGTGTTTCTCTCTCATGGGTAGCAAGCTGATCACCTACATCAGAATCACCTCTAAAAACCAGGTTTTTGGACCCTACCCCAGACTGAGTGAAACTGACTTTCTGGAGTGGGGGCCCTAGAAACTGCATTTTTAGCAAGTTCCTCTCCCTGGCACTTAGGCAATCCAAGGTTTAAGAAAAGCCACAGTAGTGTTTTAGAACATAACATGTGTTGACATTTTCATATATGTGAGTTCTTCACCAGCCCAAAGTCACTGAGCAAAACATACCTAGAATTACAAGCTAATCAAAGAGCAAGCTGACTACAGGAAGGCGTACACACACACACATACACACAAACACACACACACACCCCCTAGCATTAGACATACCTGCAAATACAGAGACATTGCCTTTAACATTAGAAGAACCACCCAAAGAGGCTCTGTTGAGCATCTGTAATGAAATGCAGACTGACCGGTTATTTGTGTTAAGGAGGAGAGGGAGTAAATAGTGAATAACAATGTCATTACACCTCTTGGACTCCTGTTTAAATACTACTCTCTTGCCTCCTTTGAAACATGATTAAAAATCCATTTGATTATAATAGGTTACTCTCAATACTGGAAAAAGCATTTCTGTTTCCATCAGCTGTGAAAAGAAAAAATTCAAACTATCAAAACCATATTCAGTTTTTATCCCTCTTCTGTACAGGGATGGTCTTTGTTAGTAATTGCTAGAGGTGAATTTCTTTTCAAATATCAAGCTGAAAGATGTTACTCTGTACACGTGGTTCCGTAAAAGAATCAGTCTATCTTTTGTCTGTTTAGAAAATCCAGTTGAGGACAATTTACACTTGTCCTCTGGAGATTTCACATCAGAAAACACAACTCCATTAAATCCATTTTCATGAACTTCATTCTTTGAGATCCAATTACCCTCGCAAACATCTGAACATCACAACATATATGTGATATCTCTATCTGCTTACATCTAGCTGAAGTTCTGGGATTGCAAAATAATTTGCCTTCAAATATTAAAAATATCAAAAAGATTAACACGCAGGACTTTGTTTTGACTTAATATTCTTACGGAACGTTAGACGGAAGAAAAGGAGACATACTAACAGGGATAGGAAATTCCATTTGAAAGACATGAGCAATTTTTAACACCTTTGGAATCTTACTTCGAGAGCAGTTACATACCTCAGAGTATAGGATTCCCATGCTGGTCCTTCACAGACTTTTTCCACCTCAACAGCTTCTTGAATCTTCTCCAATTAACATCAAAATCCTTCCCAGCCGAGAGAAAGTTCGCTAGAAGCTCGGGTCGGTGGCAAGTCCTTTCTTTCCCCACCTGGGAGTGCTCCTCCAGCAACCCAGACAGCCACGCACCTTCCAGAGAGCCCAACCCAATGAAACAAGGGCATTAGTGTACCACGTAATGAATGACCCCAGCGGTGTATCATCTAATGTTACAGCCTGGAGGAACCGGTTTCTGAGTCATATCTACTCTGCCAGTGGCAACATGAGGCAAGAAGGAAGCAAAGTTGAGGGGGAAGGGAAGGTCTCACATTGGCAGGAAGGACTTGGGGTTCAAAATGGAGTATTGTGTGTAGGACATTTCCTAACTGAAATCTGTTTTTCAGTGGCTATTGAGAAAGGCTAGATGCAACCAAACTCGTGTCTTAAAACCACGTATGTCTGCGTAGGACTTGACCTTCGTGAAAAATCTTCTTGAAAACTGTCACTATGGACTACTGCTGTCTTTAAGCACAGATATGTTTGTTTACTATTCCTTAATGGTTTTGTCTGAATAAACTAATTAAAATAATAAATTAAGCTCAATTTATAAGCCATATTATTTTATGTGCATAAATGGGCTCATAATCATTTTCAAGGGCATCTTCGAGGAGTTTAAACAATTCAAATTGAAAAAGCTAAACTCTGAAGAATCAGTCCCATTTACATCCTAGTTAATTAAATTATCTTAAAGATTTATGCTATATTTATAGTATTACTGTATTTGAATTTTCTTTATGAGCACGTCAATTCTTTTTTTTTTTTTAATGGAGGTGCTGGGGATTGAACCCAGGACTCTGTGCATGCTAAGCATGTGCTCTCCACTGAGCTATATCCTCCCCTCAGTGCTTCAGTTCTGAGCCTAATAAGTAATACTTTCCCAGCCAAACGGTCTTGTAAATCTAATAAACTAAACTTACTAATATAATAAACATTAAGTTGTCTTAAACATTCGAATACCATTTACAAATGTAGCCAAATTATTTTATAACATTCAATTTTAAAATCAGAAGTCTAAAATCAGTTACTCTATCACACATTTTAAATGGAATTACCAGGCCACTTGGTCAAAAACACGCTAATTTGTCAAATCTCTTAAACATTGTAAACATTTTATATACCAAATATAATACCAAATAGTCACACATTTTTTCTGAACTTAACACAATCACAGCAAAGAGCTAAACTTTTCCAGAATTAAAACACTCAAACATACCTGTGAAAGAAAGAATTCAACCAGCCAGAGCAAATTGGTGTCCTCTGAACAGTTCAGGATCTTTGTGGCCAAGATGAGGTGGCAAGATCCAAGGTCTGAGCCTATATATATTCAGGGAAATTCTTCCTACTCTGCTGAGAAGCACAGTGAGCTATGCTTGTAACTGTTATAACAAGAATTAGATACTTTATTCTAGACTTGACTTTGGGGCCAACCTCCCAGGAGTTTTAAGAATTAGCTAATTCTCCTGTTGGAGACGGAAGTCTGCAATACATACTAAGATTGCAGCTGACTTCCCCTTTGGTTTAGTTTGATTTTGCATTTCTTTATTCTGTAAGACATGTATGTGTCTTTCCTATAGACTTAAACATTAATGGTATTTCCAATGGGTACTTCACCCTCTTATGCGAATCTTGTAACCCCCTTTTAGCTTTCTCTGTAACCTCTTGTAAGTAATTTGTGTGGACAGAATTTTCCTCTGTTACTACCTCTCTGGCTGAGGTTATCGTTAGCTTCTCCAAGCTCTTTGCTCCCTGACTGAACTTGAAAGCCTTCTGTAATTTCCAGCAGGACCAAAGCTCATCTACTTGGATTCTGCATCGCTCCCTGGACTGCATCTTGAAGGTGTAAGGGTTCAGGACAAGCTTCCCATGCACCCCTCATGCTGAAGTACTCTCATAATGAGGTCTGAGAAACACATCACTTTTTAAAGAAGTGTTTAGGATTCACTCTCTAGCAAACTGAGCCCATAATTACAAAAATGGAAAAGAAAAAGAAGTTCTAGGAAATAACTTAGATATACAAATGTCTTCTTTTAAGAAATAATGTTTCAGTCAGACACTGCAGGCTTAGAATTAAAGGAGTCCACTTGATACCAGTTGAGGATGTAGCCAACCTCTGCTGACCAGCACCTAACAGCCTGAAAGGAAAAATGAGGCTCCTTCAAGGTGTATCCTGAAGACGTGACCCCCTCCAAGAGAGGTTCAGTAGAACATACCAAGGGAGTTCTACTCTGAGATCTTGACTCACCAACAGTGTCTAATGGCTGGCACTGGAGGAACTTAATTAAAGGAGTGTCATGGTCAGAATTTCATGTATGTAATAAAGCCATCACTCTGGCCATTGTGTGGAGAGTGGAGTTGAGGCAGACAAGAGAGAAACCAGCAAGACCAGTTAGAAGGCTATTGCATTAAGTCAACCAAGAGATCGTGGTACCAAAGGCAGAAGAGCAGTAGCGAGGATGGAGAGAAAAGGAGGAACTCTGTAGGACAGAGGGTGCCCTGTCAGAGCAAACCGAAACTTACATAACTTCCATGTCCTTGTAAGTACTCTGCTTTACCAGAAACACAGTATTTTCAGCCAGCCAGTCCTCAAATACCAAGAATCTGTTCTGATATCCTTGTTCTAAATAAGGTCAGATAGGCAACCCCAGGCCAATCGATTTAAACCAGATACATTTTCTTTATTCCCTGATTAAGCTGCTAGCCTAATGAAGAACTCTCCAACCTCCTGACCAGTCACACCCTGTTTCTGCATTTCTGCTTCGAACAACCTATAAAACTCACTCTTGCCCAAATATTCCACTGTTTCCGGGACACGGTACTCCCCCAATCCACGGGTTGTTTCTCCTTGAATAAAGGACTTCAAACAAAATTGTTTTATTTTTATCATTTGACTGTCACCGTCTCCTGGTGCTAAATACACTTCTTTATCTCTTGTTCTGTGATGTTGACAATAGGGAGCACTCAAGGGGGACCACAAGGCTAAGGAGGAAGAAAGAGACCGGCTCATTCCTGTGCATTTGCTGATCCTATCAGCTTAAGCCCAGCAATAGCCTGTCATCCTAGAGACAGTAATTGGTCCAGCTTTGTTTCACAGTCCCTCTCATTACAACCAGTCTAATCATACCCTTCAGAGGTACCAGCACCAGCCGTCTCCCTCTCACAGCCCAATGGGATAAAACGCCTCCCCTGAGCTCCTGCAGGATTAGCAACAACCAGACAACGGCCCCTCTTCCAGTCTGGGTCCCAAGAATTTCAGGGTGCTTCCCCCAAGCTGCTAAATTCTGACAACCCCAACCTCTGCTCCTTGTTCCCTCCATCTGAGAGGTGGCAGCTAGCTAGCTGCTCCTGTAATCCTCTCTCAGTTGCCTTAGGGTTTCCTCTTTGCTTTTTCAGCCCTCCAAGGTCCACTTAACGGATTCCTTTTATGAAATCTTTCTGTTGAAATATCTAGTAGGGTTCCTTACTGGACTCTGACAGATACTCTGAATAATACTCTAGAGATGTTTAGAAGCTAAAAAAAAAAAAATAGCAGGGATTCTCAATCTGATATAAGATACATGGGGGAAATAGCAGATCTGGGATGACATGCATGTGTCCTACTTAGGAAATTTGGTAGACTTTCGTACCTTCCACCAAAACTCAAAACACTGGAAGAGAAGTAAGATTAGGGAAGGGTTGGAGAGAGATGATCTGTTCCAGTCTGCATAATTTGTGAATTAGGCATGTGTGTGTAGCACGTCTAGTGGGAGATATTCAAAGGGAAGTTTATTATACAGTTTTTGAGTTTTGGAGTAAGAGTTGTTCTAGAGGTAAAGATTTTGAGAGTCATTAGCATATCACCCAGTAGGTTTCAAATGTAAGAGTGAAAGAGTTTAGCTATCTTATTATAGTCTTTTTTTTTTCCCCCAATCTACAACCTGGATAAATTCCTTGGCTGTATAGGGTTATTTCTTCTTTAAGTAACACAAGGATTTTTCTTTTCATTTGAGCCCCTTTTAATGCTAAGAATTGCTATCTAATCAGATAACAATAACAATAAAATAATAAATCAAAAAACAATAACTTTTGCTACTCAGAATGTTTGTGTTTCTGAGTTTCATACATTGAAGCTCTGCCATCTCTTTCCGCCAATTCTCTTGTTTGTCAATCAGTGTTTTTTTTTATCATTTGTTCACTTAAAGTCCAGGATTCAGAAGGCAAATTGCAGTAATGCTTATTGTTTTGTCCTAATATAGTGTCTTTACTCCCAGACCTAAAAAAATCTTGTCAAATTTGAAATCACTTTTGAATTTCCCAATAAATAAGAAATGTATGGTAATGGAGAAAGAAATCGGGTCAGCCAGCCCTTAAAATAAAAAAATATATATTGGCTTTGGAAGTTTAAATTTAAAATAGATCATTTCATTGTTTAGCTCTTACAAGACACTTAATTCCAAGTTGTGTTCTATTCCTGCAACATCCTCTACCACGTACTCACAGAATTACTTATTACCATGTGCTTGAATGGAAGCACAAAGAGTAAACATCACGCTCCTGGTCCCATAGCCACTGGAATGCTGAGATGTATGCTTCTTGATTTTTTAGATCATTTAACATATCTGAGACAAGAGAACTTATTTTTATTTCTTGGTAAAAGCAGAAAAGAAAACAAGGAAGTAACCATATTACCAACAAATCCTGTTACACTGGATGGCTGTTCCAAGATACAGCCGCCTACTTCTGCAAACTTTCCACTCTTTCTCCACTGACTCAAGAATCTGCTGAATGACTTAAATTATAAGTCTCTTTCAGTTTTGCAGTAAAGCCAGATTCACAGTATGAGACAAGCTGTGCACTCTAGGGCGCGAGTTTACTACTCTGACCCAGGATGGAGGAGGTCGCCTACGCTACACTTTGACCTACAGTTTATTTTTACTACTGATCCTGATCCGAGGGGTTTTAAAAAAAGATGATTTATGTCTACTTCCTTAGGAGGCCTTAAGGTTCTTTGAATTATACCCCACTCCATGCCTGTGACATGCAGCCTCCAGTTTTTATGGGATTTTGTTTGTTTGGTTCTAGTTTATAATAAAGTGTTGTTTGAGGTATATATCCCTCCAGTCTTCTTCTTATGGATATGCACACACAATTTGTTTACTTATTTACTTTCAAAAAATGAGTTTTTTTGGCACAAATTTTTGCTCTCATGTTTGCCCTTCAACAGTACATAGTGACGTTTTCCATGTTACAAAATAGTCTTTAATATCATTTCTAAGGGGGAAGGTATAGCTCATTGGTAGCGTGCATGCTTAGCATGCAGGAGGGCCTGGGTTCAATCCCCAGTACCTCCACTAAAATAAGTAAATAAACAAATAAACCTAATTACCTCCCCCACAAAGACAAACAAACAAAAGGGACCAAATGACTTAGAGGCAAGTAGACATCTTGCTATTATAATAGTATCTTGGGTTCCAGACCTGGCTCTGTTCAGCACCCCAGACACCCCTAGACCACGGAAACTCCATATTGCTAATTGTGAGCTTGGATTCCCTGACCTTTTGAAAATCCTACTGGAACAGCTACTGTCCTGTCGCACGACAACACCGGACGAGCGGCACAGAAGATAAATCCACAATTACTCCACTGCTCTCCTCCCAGAGAGGCCCTCCTGACACGAGCTCAGAGGCAAACAGCATCATTTGCAGGTGGTCAAACAAGAAGGCCCAGTTAGCTAGGAGCTAGGGTCAGGTTTCCTGCACAGTTTCCCAGCCCCTCTCCTCAAGACTCTTCTCCCTGTAGCTCCTAGTTGCTTGTTGGTTCACCTCTGCCTCCTGGATGACGGAGCACACCCGAGGGGGCCAGCAGGGGGCAGGTCCTGACACTCCGAGGAGAGAAGGAGAAATGCGGCTGGCACGGCTGGGTTGTTTGGTGAGCTCACACAGCAGGCGAGCTGGGCTCCCAACACCTAAGGCTAGTGCTGGACCTTGGCGTGGACTGTGGTATAAAACGTTAGCACGCCAGATTTCTAATTCCTGCTCTGACTTCCCATGTCAATTTGATCCTATGTAGACTTCATTTTCCTCATCCATGAGATGAAGGGGCTGGACAAGATTATTGCTAGTCTTTGAGGTCAGAATTGTTTAAATCTATACCTAAATGGCGTTCTAACCAAATATTGCAAAAATAAAAGATGCTGTGGCATAATTGAAATGAACACAGGTTTTCGAATCTGAGAGACAGCAATAGGGTATTGGCAATGTTCTATTTCTTGATCTGGGTTATGATTTCACAGATATGTTCCCTTTAGGATAATTATTTGAGCTACTGATCTGTGCATGTTTCTATATGTAAGCTACTCTAAAATTGAAAATA